CCGGCAGTTCCCTGTGTAGCCATGGACTGGCTCACCGCTGGAATTACGGCATGGGCCAGGCGGGAAGCTCAGTGGTACCCCAAGCTTGGCTCTTTATTGTATATACAGCATGGGCCAGGTTAGTGGCCGGGTGGCCAGCCAAGCTTGGCTAAACAATAGAAATTCACCATGCAGTTAAACCAGCTTAACTGGTCATATTGACAACACACGTCGCAAATCAATAAAATAAAATTTATTTCCACAAAAGAAAGTACATACTGCAGGCCACGAAAATAAGCATAAAGACATATGTACAATGCAAAAAAAATTGTCATGATATTATTGATGTGTCCCAGGCGGTTGGCGAGATTCTCCACATCTTCTGGAGTGTCGGGGTTCCGGTGGTGGCTAACGTAGTACCCCAAGGCATCTGAAATAATAATAAACATCAGTAATTAGAACAGTGGCAGATTTATTTTCAGCCGTCTGTTCTAAAACGGTATGTAACTAATGCCACGAACAAGAAATATGCACTACCATAAACAGTATGAGAGAGAATACGGAAGCGTGTGCTAATTGCACATGTGGTGCCAGTCTCGCGGCAATTAAGTGTAAACCGCATCTAAGCGCTTTGACGAGCGATGACGATCCGCTTCGTTGTCGTTCGGTCACTCGTGCGACGCGGCCAACCGCATGAAAGCAACGGGAGCAAGCGACCAAGGCGATGAGCGACGATTTCTAGAAATCCAAAAACCGAGCAACGCGACGAGCGATTGCGGGGAATCTCTGCCGCTCGTCGCTCGCTTGATCGCTTACATGCGGTTCAGCCTTTACGCAAAACAACGCCTAGGAATGAAAAGATGCTGCTGTTGTTACCCCCCTCCTGCCTACCCAGTCCGTCGTCCGCCATGCAACTCGCAATCGCAAGTTGCTTAGCGGACGAAAGACTGGGAAGGCAGGAAGGGGGTAACAACAGCCGGATGCTCTACCACAGTGGTTAACCACTGTGGTACAAGGATCTCTGAAGCTGAATGTATACACTGGAGGTTGCATTACTAGCATACTTGTTTCAAATTGGGTTACAAACAGCTTCAGTTTCACATGCACCTGATTACAAAAATGAATCCAAATGGTCGAGCCTGCTTACCTGGCTCGCTGGCGCGGAGACAAGAGACAGCCATTGCCCGCGCTGCAATCAGGACGGAGCGAATTCCGAACACGCCGTTCTGGGATGCAGCCATTGCGCCCACGAGCGAGTGGAACTCAGGCGGAGGACGTCATCAGCCACAGGAATCATCGGCAGAGGGTGCACTCAAGGCACCGGCAAACTATCACAAACACAGCAGCTTCTAACCTCCCCAAGCAGAACAGCAGCGGGCACTGGCGGAACAAAGACCCAAATTCGCGCCACGCAGATCCGTTTTCTTTTTTTTTTTTCTTTCTTTCTTTCTTGTTTTTTTTTTTTTGGTACTGCGCCGCCGCCGACTCAAACGGGCGCTTCGAGCGGACGCGAAGGCCGCGCTGATTGGCCCGCGCGCTCCCTGTCCTGGCACGTGAGCAGCTCTCCAAGTTTCAGGCATCCGCGCTGCGCGTGGGGACACAGCATGATCTCCGGTCCCGGGGCACTGGCACATTCCAGGCGCGTGATTCACTTGGGGGTGCGGGAGTTTTCCCGCGCTTTTCCAACATCACGTGGGAGGCTCCCCGCCTCGGGCACTTGCGCTGGAAGCGGCTTGTCCGTGCAAGCCAGGATAAATAAAGGCCGCGGTAATAAGCGCGAAAGTTATAAAGTTCGAGTCCGACCAATTTAGACAGTTTGATTTTTGGTTTGTCTGGTACAATTCCACTACAACCAGTTCATTTCGGGTTTGGCCTCTTCATATCCAAAATGTTTTCAAATATTTTTTTTTCTTTTTCAATGGGGAAAACGTGTTATTTTTTACGTCTCCAACTAAAACAGACATCTCGCACCTAAACGTCGCTTTCTACTGCGAGGGCTCGTGCCACAAAGCACCAAAAATATGTTAAGAGAACGCTCATACGAATTAAAAAAAGAAAGGGGAAAAAGTTAAACCAACTATAAAGTAACAGTGGCTTTCAGCGGGCATTCTGGGTCCAATAAAATACGAGCTTGAGCCACGGAACAGTGCATAGCGGCAATTCCCTGCTATTCCTTGGCTCACCCTATCTCCGATCTGGCAACATGCCCGAATACTGGCTGTTGCTTTTATTGAGTGGACCAGGGAATTCCTACAAAACACCATGGAACCTCAAAGCTTGGCAGAGGCATTGCTACCTTGGCCATCTCTGACCGAGGAAAATCAATAGACAGCCAGGGTACATAAATAATGGCAGCGGCCTGTTTACACTGGCCATCAATGACCAAGGAAATTGACTGGTCAACCAGGAAAGACGTTCCTTGGCAGTTCCGTGGCTTTCTGGTGCAAGGAAAGACTGTGAAACGCCAGGCTGGCATACAGACGTAAATGGCTGGGCAGTCGTGGCCAAGCTATGACAACTAAATGCCAATTCTGGCCCCAGCTAAACCAGGCAAGTGTGCTACCTGGGATACGATACGAATTAATTTTAATACGAATTCAGTGATAAATGCAACGACTGGCCAGGCAAAGATTCTGGGTCTGTGGATAGCCTTTGCACATAGCTTAAGTCATGTACTGGGTGTCACAAAACAACAAATTACAGGGTTTTTTTTTCCCGCAAGATAAATTTGGTATCGCCGAACGCTCATTCCCCGCCCACTGTAGTGCTAGACGTCACAACCAGATGTCAAAGTTTCAGCCCGATCCGATACCTTATTCAAAAGTTATGAGTGATTTTCTGAAAAGTTCAATGGGAAAATGGCGGCTGACTGAGTTTTCGAATACATGGAATTCTATGGCGCCAGAAACCGAAAACGCGCAAAAATGGGCTCTATTTTCCCAATGAAATTTTCAGGAAATCACATAACTTTTGAATAATGTGTCCGTTCGGGATGAAACTTTTGCATCTGGTTGCGACCTAGTGCTACCTTTGGGCGGAGAATGAGCGTTAGGCGATACGCAGTTTATTTTTGCGGTAAAAACAAACAAACAAAAAAAAAACATGTGCTTTTTTTTGCGGCACCCTGTACCAGTCTTAATTTGGTGATTTATGCGCGCAAGTAGTAGTGTGCAAAAATGAAAAAAAAATGCAAGCAAGTAGAGTTTGACGTTGTATAAAATATAGTGTAAGCACGCACATGGTACGCTGATTAAGAATAAAACAGCTCTACATTTCACACTAGCGGTGAGGGTGTCGAAAGTTAAGGGTGCACCAAAAGCTAAAGCATGTACACATATATACTCCTCAGTCCATTATGTTTCAATGCTCATAGCACTTTATTACCCTCAGATTTGGTCTAAGTTGTCTCCTGACTGCTTACAACAGAAAGAAGGAAGCATTCTAACTCTGGGCTGATAGAAAATCTCCACCTGCTGGCAGCTACCAATCATCTTGGCACGGATTATGAGTATTCACTGCATGCCAACGGTCGCGTGCTTAGAACGAGTTTTTCCCACGTGATTTCATACAATCACAATTGTTCTTGACAAACAACAGTGTTTACTCAGACAAGCGGTCAGATGTGAAGCTTAGAATATTTTTTATTGATTGTGGCACACATGGCAAGTTGCATAGGTTTTGTTTACAATCCGCGAAGTAGAATGCTCCTGAATTACCTTGGTCTCTAGTGCATGTAGCACACAGAAGAGCACGAACTCAATCGCAGTGGGAAACGAAAACAATAATGATAAACAAGCATTTAATCACGCAAAAAATGAGGGCACTGCTTATAAACAGAAGGTAAGCTTTGTTTCACTAAATACATTACCAGTAAAGCATCTCGTTCTATCCTGCGAGTGAAGCGGAACATACAAGTACGAGCGTAGTGCCCTGAACTACACTTCCAGTGAACAAGCGCATCATCCAAAGCATCGAGCTCGCTTTTATAGACGCTTTGCAGCAACTGTGCATGGACGCCGCCTTAACTGACCTTCAATTTTTGTTTCCTCTTATTCCGTTTATTTCACTTCATCAGTGTAGGAAGCATTACGCATCAGCCAGCATGGAGATTCGAACGAATGATCTTTTATTCCACGCGCTCCGCGCTCGTGCTCAAAACGCGGCACCGCTGGGAGACGTGGCGCCATCTATCGCTAGTTACTACATCTCTTTTCTCTGGAAAAGTCAGCGTAGAGCGTCACCATCAACATGGTTGGGGTATCGTTGTTGTGGCCTTCTTTTCCTTGTTCCACTTCGCGGCCGCGGTCTCGGGTGAGGCTGACTCTGGTTAAAGTCACTGGGACTCTCTTCCGTGCAGGCTGTGTCTTTCCCCGTGGAGGTCAGCTCTCGTCTAGAATCCGTCGCCGTTCGTAAGTGTTCACGGGTTCTTCGGTGGACCCGACCCCCTGGGGTTAAAATGTCGTAGGACCTCGGCACTGAATGTCCCACGACTATGGCAGGTGACCATGTGCGCCGCAGGGTGTTGTAGACGGTGACTGTAGAACCCGTGTCAATGTCTGGCAGTGTTCTTGAGCTTCTATCGTAGTTCGCCTTTTGTTGCCGCCTTATTTCTGTGAGACGACGTGTGACAGCCTTGGGTGGCACAACAGTCGGCAGGTAATGTTCCGATCGCGCAGGTAACAGTGTTCTTGTGTGTCGGCTCATCAGTCTCTGTACTGGCGATTGGAGGACATCGTCTCGTGGAGTGTTGCGCCACTCAAGGAGGGAGCAGTAAAACTCTTCAGTGTTGGCACTCTTTCGCAAGAGTTGTTTGGCCTGTCTCACGGCTCGTTCAGCCATGCCATTTGATCGAGCGTGGTAAGGGCTTGATGTAACTTGTTCTATCTTCAGGTTTTCCAAGAACTGCTTGAACTCCTGGCTGCCAAATGGTGGGCCATTGTCGCTTATAAGTTTCAACGGCAGTCCATGTGTTGCGAATACTTTAAGGCAGAACTCTTTGACTTTGGAAGCTGTGGTACTTTTCATTTCTTTACCTCAAAATAAAATGAGTAAAAATCCACCAGGATTATGTAGTCTTTTCCTTCATGAGTGAAGAAATCGGTCCCGACCAACTGCCAAGGAAGCGTTGGCAGTGAGTGGCTGAGGAGTGGCATCTTGGTGTTTCTTGATTTGTACTTCTCGCATTTGCTGCATTTGCCATGTTCGCGGTCAATGTCAGCGTTGATTCCGGGCCAGAACAAAATTTCTCGGGCTCTTCTCTTCATTTTGTCTTTGCCCGCGTGTGCCGTGTGGAGCAAGTTGAGAATCTTGGATCTGATGGCCGTTGGAATTATTATCTTGTTTGACCGCAGCACAAGGCCGTCTTCCTCGTGGATCTCCTCTCTGTAGGACCAGAATGGCCTTCTGAGCTGAGGAACTTGCTCTTTCTGCTCGGGCCATGACGTCTGTGCATACTCGCGCAGTAGACGCACCTGGACATCGGCTGCAGTTGCGTCTCTTATTTCATTTAGCCGATCTTGTGTGACAGATATGTGCTCCAGTGAATTGACTTGAAATTTCTCTTCTTCTTCTTGCATTGTTTCCTTCGTGGGAAACCGTGACAGTGCGTCCGCTAACTGCAAGTCTTTTCCAGGTATGAATTTTACTTCCAATGAGTATCTTTGGAGAGCCATCTTCATCCGCTGCAGTCTCATCGGGCACTGATGCAACGGTTTCATGAAAACAGCCTGTAACGGCCTGTGGTCGGATTCTACTGTTACGTTTGGTTGGCCGAATATGTAATGGTGGAACTTGCTGCAACCATGAACAATGGCCAGCATCTCTTTCTCGATCTGCGCATATTTCATTTGTGCGGCTGTCAAAGATCTCGATGAGTACGCTATTGGTCTTCCGTCTTGGGTGATAACGGCCCCTACTCCGTATTGGCTTGCGTCGACTGACAGCGTAATCGGCTTTTCTGCAGTGTAGTAAGCCAGCACTGGTGCCTTCGTCAAAGCGTCTCGCAGGTCTTCGAAACTTCTTTGTTGATCTACCGTCCATACCCATGCAATCTCTTTTTTCAGCAGTTCTCGTAGTGGTGCCGCACGCTCGGAAAGTCGTGGTATGAAGCTCGACAAGTAGGTGATCATTCCGAGAAATGTTCGAAGTTCCTTGCGATCTTTTGGTTCATTGACCTCCAGTATGGCTTTGATTCTCTCTTGGTCAACAGCAACTCCATCTCCAGTCAGCACTTGTCCGAGGTAGCGCACTTCTGTCTTCGCGAGTTGGATCTTCTTTGGGTTAAGTCGTAGATTCACTTCACGGCAGCGTTGGAGCAAGTGTCGCAGATTCTCGCCATGTTCCTGGCGAGTCTTTCCCCACACCAATATGTCGTCCATCACGACTGCTGTTCCGGTGAGTCCATCTAGTACTTCGTTCATGACACGCTGAAAAACTTCAGGTGCTGTGCTTATTCCATTCTCTTAAACCTGTACCTTCCATACGGAGTACTCATGGTGCACAACTTTGAACTCTCTTCATCAAGTTCGATCTGCCAGAATCCCGAGGATGCGTCTAGCGCAGAGAACACTTTCGCTCCCGCGATTCGAACGGCAATGTCGTCCATTGTCGTCATCAGGTAGTGTTCTCTCCTCAGGGCTCGATTCAAGTCAACTGGGTCCATGCAGATGCGCACTTTGTCCTTCTTTGCGACAACTACCATGAAACTGGCCCATTCTGTCGGTTCTTTCACTTTTGTCAGAACTCCCTGGTTTTCCATTCTTTGAAGTTCGCACTTGACCTTTTCTTGCAGTGCCACAGGCACCTTCCTGGCTGGGCGAACGACGCCTTGTGAACCTGGCTTCACCTTCATGTTGTACACAAATCCCTTGACCTTTCCCAGTCCGCTGAAAACGTCTGCGTATGGTCCGGCAGGGTCACAAAGATTTGTATCTGCTGCATTTGTGTCTTCGTGTTCTCTTGACACAGAAGCCAGACGCTTGATCATTCCAAGGTTTTCACTCAGTTCTCCTCCCAACGTCACCGGTACCTCTTCCTTGACCACAAAGAACTCCTCCTGGACAGCTCTGGCTCCATTCGACACTGTCAGTGTTGTTCTTCCACATGCTTTTTTCTTGTGGCCAAAGAACGATGATAGTGTGGTATCGCACTTCCGGACTTTTTTGTTTGATATTAGACGGACCAGTCTTTCTGGGATGACTGAGCAATTAGCCCCGGTGTCGAGCTTGCAGCGTACGCTATCTTTTTCTATTGTGACTGTCTCGCTCCATCGGTCTTCTTTCTCTATCTTATCTACGGTTAAATGGCACAGCAGATAACCTTCATCGCTGTTGTCCGTATCCTCGCGCTCTACTTGTCGTACTTTGGGATCAAATTTTCGTCCTTTTTTCGACTGGTGTCGGTGACGGCTGTCTGGTGTGTGGGTCTCGCTCTTGCAGCATTTTGCAAAGTGGCCTAGCTCGCCACAACTAAGGCACTGTTTTCCAGTAGCTGGGCACGTGCTCGCGCGATGAACAAAGCCGCAACGGTGGCAGGTGACTTGGTCTGATCTTCTAAGCACCTTTACTGTCAGTGGGTCCTCGTGTCGCTCGTCCTTTCCGTGGATTTCGTTGAACCGTTCTTCAGTTCGTTCCCTTGTTCGGCATATCTCCAGGACTTTGTCAAAGGTAGGATTGTCGTTAATCAGTTTCTGCTGCAACTGTCGGTCTTTAGTTCCGAGTATTATTCGGCTTCTTAGCATACGTTCTTCGACGTCGCCGTACTCGCAGTTGCGTACAAGCACCCTCAGTTCCGTCAACCACTCATCAAACTTCTCACCTTCCTTTTGGTCTCTTTTCCCAAAGATGAATTCGTGGTACGTGAGGTTGATCGCTGGCTTCATGTGCGCCGCGAACTTATTCTTCAGGACCTCGAGTTTCTCTCTGTCTTCCTCGTTATCGAATGTGAAGGTAGTGTAAATTCGCCTACCTTCTTCTCCGATGCAGACGAGAAGTGTTGCTGCTTGCACTTTGTCAGGTTGGTCCATCAGGTGCGTTGCTACCGCAAACAGCTCGAATTCCATTAGCCACTTCTTCCATGCGTTCCAGGGTTCGCTTGCCATGTCTAGCGGTTTCGGCGGCGGTAGTAGGCTTGTCATGGTGGTCGCCGTTCGCTCACTTTGGCGTTCTTCGCGGTCGCCACCTTCTCCGGGCCTACTGTCCAGCGTTGTTTCGTTTCTTTGAACCGCTACGAACTAATTTGGCTTAAATCGCTGCCACCATGTAGGAAGCATTACGCATCAGCCAGCATGGAGATTCGAACGAATGATCTTTTATTCCACGCGCTCCGCGCTCGTGCTCAAAACGCGGCACCGCTGGGAGACGTGGCGCCATCTATCGCTAGTTACTACAATCAGTACCACAGCAGGCCTGGTTTTTGCCATATTAGATTAAACTGTGTCATTTTCTAAAGCATCGGCCTTTGTAGAGGATCGTCAACTACCGTTTCAGTTGCTCGGCATCTCGGTAAGACAAGAGAAGGTCAGCAATGGCGGCTGTAATTTGGCGCGTGTGTAAAGCGTCTATAGCTTTTGGTGCGCTCAAACCTTTCAAGACACAATTATGATCAATTCTATTATTTCAATTATTTTATTAGGTGCGCCTGTGTGTGTGTGTGTGTGTGTGTGTGCGTGTGTGTTTTGCGTCCACATGCACTTTCTTAGTTATATAATATTTTTTCAGAAGTCCGACAACTATAGTCTGTTTCATCATAAGTAAGAACCGCATAATCAAAGATGCAGACAAAAAAAAAAAAAAACGCGAACACGCGAACCTACATTAAAAATGCAATGTAACGGCGCATTCAAAATTAGTCGTTAGTTTCTTAGAGAGCAGCAGTTTCGTTGGGCGACATTGTTACCCGTTAAAGGTTATAAAAAGCGCAGTACAACTGTTAGCTTGAGGTCTTCAACGTCCATTACGCAGTATGTGTGGTACACGATCCCAGGACGGTAGGATGCAGAAGGCCTACTGAACCCTGGGTCCTTGCTAAAGCCCCTTGATAAAGGCGTTTTTTATGAGTACCGCCAACCATTGTTGTGGAAACGCGCGAGACACGTGCCGCGAGCGGGTACTCCGCCGCCATTGACTTTTAAGGACCAGTCATTTTAGTGCTGCGCCGCCATTTGCCTCCAAGGGCCGCTCGAGATATGGGACTGGCACCGTTGAGGTTATTTGAAAAACCAACGCAAACACATCGAGGGGATTTAGTCCCTACAGGTTCTGCAGCGTGAGCTCCGTGCTTTGAACGGAGCTCGCGCTCGAGCATTTCTCCACGTGCTCTGATCTGTGGTGCCACAACACACTCGGCCAACGATCCCTCACCGCACTTGGTTTAGCCTATGAGCTAAACTAAATGAGCTACGCTTAGAGTCTCGGCGTTTTCCTCCCGATATTGTTGTGGGCGCCGCCATCTTGCTGGTTAGTAACAAATCAAACGCAACTGCCGATCGTCATGATTGAAATGTGCGACTTCCTCAGCAATAGTTTCCGTGTCAGGAAACTCACGTAATATTGCTTTGCTTTGTCGCGAACTGTTTAAACATTTGTGGAGGACGGAAAAGCGTTTCATGTGATTTCAGATAAAGCTTCAGATAACTGACAACCATCATTTTAAGCACCGAGATGTGTATGAAGCGTAGCTTATTAAGTGGCTCTAGTTTAGCCCGACCGCATAGGCACAGAAAGAGATACGAACAGCTTGACTTCGCGCTCTTGGCGCTGCTTCAGTGGTTTCATCAGCCCGTAGCGTTGGCTGTGTTCCCAACTAAGGTAAAGCGAAGCAAATACTCAGATCTTAGGGTTTCGCAAGCCAACCCAACAAAAATCACTTAACGCGCCCCTCCCCCCCCCCCCCCCCAAAAAAAAAAAATAAATAAAATTTGCGGGTTTATTTTTACTAATTGGAGATCTTTTAACGTGCAACCGAAATCTCAGATTGGCCTCCGTCGGATTGCGGGCATCTCGGCGGATAAGCCCGACAAATATGAATTCAAGGGCCAGCGCGTTGGCTCAGAGACACTGAGACGATTTAATGTTTTGTGTTTGGTTTTAATATTATTGCCACTTAAAAAGCCACTTTGGTGGTTTTTAAACAGAATATAGTCGAACCATTCTGACAAGCATAGTTTGATTGCGGGAATGATTTTCGGAAGTGATAAAAAAATTAAAATGTTTTCGCATACGTGGCGGAATCTGAAATTGCAGAATGCATTTCATGGCGCCCATTTCATTTGGATCGCGTCGGGTGTGTGTACCGGCGCACAGCAGAACGCGCGCAAAAGTAGCTGGGGTGCACCCGCAGCCTCGCGCTTGTTGTTGTGACATCTCTGGCTCGCTCACTCCGGGCATCCAGGCATCTGACACCCCGACATCTGGCGCTTTTTCTGTGTTTCACGTGGCGTTCCAAGCGGCACATGACGGAAAATGCACATCAAGCTGTTCTTGAACTCGTGTCGCCATCTGTACTTTATGTTAAGAAACTACAATTTGTCGTAACTGAATGGGAAAAGTTTGAGGTCTTATAACATTCTTAACGTGTAATATATCAATATGGAAGTTCTGGAAAATGTAATATCGAAGCATGCTTCATAATTTAATGTCTCGTTATTTTAATTAGTTGACGTGATTCCGTGTTTATAGCGCCATAAAATAATACCATTTTAGGCTTTATTTTTTATTTTAAAATATACATTATCAGTACAGTTTGTTGCTTATTTTTTAGTTTATTACATTCAACCAAACACTCACCTAAAATATCGTGGACGATGGGACGTTATAACTTGAGAAATAATTTTTTCAGTATTAGAGACTGTGGTCTATTAAAAGGTGAATAATTAACTAACAACTAAAAATAATTGTGGTATCGAGACATTAATGTATTGTTGAAAAACACCTCTTTAATTTGACATTAACTTTATAATTGTAAGATATATGGAAACAATGTTATAAGCCGTCAAAAAAGCACCAAAACGTCATGCACGGTGGGGTTGCACCTTAAGTGTATTTTTTTTGTGTCTGTACAACTGAGTGACTGTTTTGCGGGTGCGCTGTTACCCTGAACATCATGAGGAATCAACTTGCCCGAACCTCCGTATTAACAATTTGAAGGTGTCCTACGCCTGAGAGCACGCGCCGACCCTCACGGGACAGAGGAAAAGGAATGCAAGGTTCTCATGCGCGACGTAAAGGAGGACATCTGATCAAACGCGCCCTCCATGCGGGAGCCTGTTACTACCAGCGACTTTCCAGCGTCACTGGCCGCACGCCGTCCGTCTGCGACATCGGCCCCAGCACCCCATAATTCGTGAGATTATCTGCGACCTCTTGCGGGACAAGCACAAGAAGCTGCTCCCTACAACTGAACGTCCGGCCTCGGTCTCGATCGCCGAGGTCATCCGAGACAAACTGCATCGAGCCTTCCAGTCGTAGCTCCCGTCGACGTGCCAGTGCCCAACAAACGCTGTCCCACAATGTAATAGCCCCCGACCACCTACATCTGCACGCCTTTATGTGACGCCTCCACGCCATGAGCCTCTAGCACCGCAGCACTCCCGACGTCGTGAAGAACGGGCCCAGTGCGTCCGCCCGAAAAAACCTGCACCCAAAAAGACCGACGTAAGGAGAACAGCCGACTGACGCCGCTGTGCTACCGCTGCTGTGAAGCCGACCATACCTACCGCCGATGCCTTTTTCGCAAACGCGGACTGCGCGGATTCCCCCCCAACGACCCCCACCCACGCTACGCCCAGGCAGGACACTTGCTTGGGCTAGCTGGGGCCAGGATTGGGCCTTGACTGTAGTAGAGTGGACCGGGACCGCCCAGGGAATTCGGTGAACTGCCAGCATGGCGTCTCAACGTATTTCCCGGGCACCGGTATGCCACGGAACTGCCAGGGAAGTGATTTCTGTACCGTATGTAAGTCTGGACACCATGGGCACCGGCTATATATATAGTGACGTGGACCAATAAAAGTCAGTCCTGCTGCTGGAGCCAGACTGAGCGATCATGTCTTGTCTCGTCTGATGCATGGCGCACTCGACATCGAACGCCGAGGGTTCGCGCAGACCAGACTCCAGCGAAACCGGCTCTTGCTCTGCGTGGAAGATGAACAGCCTCAAGCCGCCAGCGGAGCTGCGTCTCACTGGGAATCTCGAAGAGAATTGGCGCAGATTCAAGCAAAGGCTGGACATTTACTTGAAGGCCACGGGATACGCACTGAAGCCCGATGACGAAAAGGCAGCTCTGTTTCTGCACGTCGCGGGAGAGGAAGCGCTGGAGATCTACAACACCTTTGAATTTGCTGAAGACGAAGAAAGGGAAGCGTACGACACGCTGGTGCAGAAATTTGAACAATACTGCATCCCAAGAAAGAACGAGACGTTCGAAAGATATGTCTTCCGGACGCGACAACAAACCGAAGGTGAGCCGTTTGAGCAATTTCTGCGCGACGTGAAAACTAAGGCTCAATCCTGCAATTTCGGAGCGGTCATGGACTCAATGATCAGAGACCAGATTGTCTATGGAATCCTTGACAAGAAACTTCGTGCAAGACTGCTACGGGAAGTCGACTTGACGCTAGAGAAGGCAGGTCAGATCTGCAAGGCAGCAGAAGTGGCTCAGCATCAAAACAGGACCTGGGAAGGGAATCAAAAAAGCGCAACCGTGGACGCAATGGAAAAAACGAAGTTGCGCGAGTCGACATCATCGTCAAAATGCGCGCGCTGCAATCTGAAGCACGCGACCCGATCGTGTCCTGCGTATGGTAAGGTATGCCTGCGATGTGGAAGAAAGAACCACTTTGCCGTCCGCTGCCCTTTGAAAGCCACTTCGCAGGATCAGCGCAATTGTTGCGTTCACCAGCAACAAGAACGAAGTAAAGAACAAGATACAAATTCCCCTCACCAGGGCAGGAAGCAGTCTGGAGCCGCGTTGCGAGCTCTTCGAAACGAAGAACAGCAAAACGTCGCCCCGCTGAACCTTGGTAGCGACTCCTCTGACGACTTCGACATCCTGGATATAAGCGTCTGTTCAGCAGACACCCGCCGAGACTGGATAATCACCACATCCGTGGTTCAAGGCACTGGACCTCGCACCACG